CGAGTTCCATCAAGAACGGACCGAATACTTCTCTCCGCTTGAGCATTGCTCTTGGAGATGTAGGGAACACTGGTGACGTGTCTCCATTTCAATTCTGATGCTGCTTTCACAAGTTCTTCTGCATTGTCTGAATAAAACACACCAATGTCATCCCGTCCCCGGGTGAAGTGCTTCAATGCAAGAACACAATCTCTAGTCGTTTTCCTAGCCGACGGATATACGTATCTAAAATCCGTAGCTATGTCCTTAATAACTAGAGCGTTTCTCGAACCATCGATAGCCTCTTCTTCATCATCCCGAAGAATAAGATGATCAGCAGTGATATGATCACCAAACTTGTCAGCATCAACGGTTTCGGATCCTCCCTTCTTGTACGATGGTGGCTTAGTCATCTTAGCCCTTGAACATGTCGTGCAAAAAGGGTTCTTAGGAACATGCGTCAACAAGTGTGCAAGCGACTTTGCTTCCTGCCTCAAGGCTTGTTCGCCACGATCACGCTTTTCCGCTGGTGGATCGGGGACTAACCTGGCATCGACTGCTTCGGGTTCTGCTTCCGCAGACTCATGGGGCGCTTCCTCTACACTAGGTGATGTGGGAATCGGAATGTACGAAGACTTGCCGTTCCCGGAAGCATGTTTTTCATACCTGTGTCCAATAGCAGTCATTGCCATACCACTGGTTGATGGTAAATAAGGAACATAGTCTTTCACTTGAAGTTTGATCCTCTGCCCATTTGGCTTTTTGAAATATGGTGTATCATTTGACGGCCAAATGAACGACCAGTCATGATCAACACACAGTTGTCCCACGGATATCACTGCCGGACTATCATCAAGTACATAAGGCTTTGCAGTGATCCCCAACAATGGGATGTTGAGATTGGCCTGATCATTAGCCTGAAATACTCCATTGGCAGTCAAAAGACTGACCGGTTTTGAGGATTCAAATACTTCATTTTGATTGACCATTTCCCTAGACACCAAGTCATTTGCACTGCCAGTATCTGCAATCCATGCGATCTCGGTTGCAGGCACGGTAACCTGTTGGTTCTTGAAACAGTGCTTGCATCCCATTTCCGAATCGCAAAGATATCGACAACGTGCCTCGACGTCGTTCAACTCGTTTGAAACAGCTCGGCTCAAACGGTCTGCTGCAATGCATGCATCTTCAGATGCCATTTCCAAAACTTCAGCGTTTCCTTTATGGCCTATGGGAAATCTGACATGCTTGCTTTGTGTTCGCGCAGCAACTGGAAACAACAAAGAATTACCATGAACCACGTGATTAAAAACTTCTGGTTTGTCAGCAAAAGAAAGGCATTTTACTTTCCCCCGTCCTGAAGATGATGGGGAAGAACTGGTGGCAGGTGTAGCAACCATGGCCATGTTTTCCAACGGGCAACTGATAGTAGCAGACTGCGATGAAGAGACCGCGGTAGCTAAGACCAGAGTGCTCAGTAGACAAACAGCGGTTGGGTTAGAAGGAGCACCTTTCCCACCTTTGGATTTCTGACTACCGCCAGAACCGTTGGAGCCACGAGAAGTACTTCGTTTCTTCTTCTCTCTTTTCTCCTTCTTCTTCTTCTGGCGTTTCTTTCTGTCGTCACTCGGGGCAGGAGTGGAAGAACGATCGGGATGTTTGAAAGCACAATTCTTTCCCCGGTGACAGTCACCGGATTTCCAAAACTTGCAAACTTCCGACCTTGAACCCGGAGTCAACGACCTCCCACGTGAAGAAGATCTACCCTTTCCACCACCTTTGGGCCTCCCTTTGCTGGATTCACGGGGTTTCTCATGCTTGAATGGGCAGTCGCGCCTACTGCACTTTCCTTTGTTCTGAAACTCGTAACAAACGCCTTTCGGCTTCTTGTCATTTGGGTCAATGACAGGAGCTGCAGGGTCTTTACCTCCAAGACTACGCTTCGTGGCATCCCTCATCTTTTCCAAACGCTTTCTTTCGAGGTACGCCTTGGCTGACTTAATCAAAAAGTCATACAGTAAGTCTTTTCGGCGCTCCCTTCCGAGGCGCGTTCATAGATGGCAAGGTCATGAGCTAAAGGCTTTAAATTCTTCACAGCAAGATGAAAATATGCCTCAAGCCACTTCTTGTCAACTTCCGTTCGCATCCCCGCAATGACAGACTCCCATCGTGTGACAAAACCTTTGAGGTCCTCGTTCACCATCTTAACACAGATAAGATCTTCAACATCGTAAATAGCACCGTGCTTGATGGATGTAGCGAAGTACTCATGAAACAACAGTAGAATTTGTCGTCCCTTGATTGGTTCCTTCGCCTTCTCTTTGGTTTCCTTAAACGTGTTCAATTGGCGAGCAAGGTCCCCCTCCGCACAGTTCGTGAGACTTGAGAGGAGCTTGGCATCCAGCGTGATGAATCCCTCAGAGTCATCCAAGTCCTTAGTAGTCACGGCATCTTCATAAACCTTACCTAGCCACAACCTGGCCTTGTCCGGCTTAGCGGACGCCGCTGACACGTTGTCCTGAACTTTAATTCACCAATCCCTATACCTTTCAGGTGTAGGAAACTTAGGAATAAGGATCTTCTCGGCTTCTTTAGCCCTCTGTTCACGATCCTCTTTCTTCATTTTCTTCAAATGTTTCCTGACCTTCCGGGCAAAGGACGAATCCTCAGAAGATGAGCTTGATGATGAAGGTGACTCAGATGGTGAAGGTGACCCCTTTTTATTCGTCTTTTTGTTCTTTTTGCGGGGTGATCTGCCACGCTTCTCTTCCTTGTCATCTTTCTTCTTTTTCTTCTTGTCTTTCTTGCTCTTCTTCTTGTCATCGGATGAAGACGAACTTGATGAACTGGGATGATCAGGCGGACCACCTCCAGCTGCCTTGGGGACGTTTACCGCTCCGCTCGGAAGAGCCTCACGGTAGGGTTCACCCGAGCTATCAGTCATTGATCTTTGCATCGGATGATACAGTTGACCAAGAGGCAGCTCGTTTGAACCCATTGGACCGGGAAGAGTTGTCCTGAGGTTCGCTGGCATTCCAGCAGGCTCAAAGTTCCCTCGAGCGGATGTTTCCATCTTCTCTCGAAGTTCTCGAATGAACTCTGTTTGGGTTCTCAACTCTTCTCTCAACTGCGATTCACGACTCTGTGCCTGTTGTTGTAATTCTGTCAAGTTGTGATTATATAGTTGAGCTTCAGTCAACGCAGCATTCTTGATAACTGCTTCTTGTGCACTCATCTTAGCCTGTTCGTTTGCAGCCCAAGATGCAGCCCTTCGTTCTTGTAACTCGAGTTGCTCCTTGACATGGTCTTGTGCCTCGCGGTGAATAGCTTCCACAGCCTTTTTCACCTCTTCATCTTTCTTGGACATCAGTTCCCTGTGTCGCACTTCTGCAATTTGAGCGACCTCAGCGGACTTGTCCAGGTTGACGTTGATCATTCTCTGATCGTGGAAGTTTGCCGTCTGATGAATGACTTGTCTTGAATCGTTGTATGTACTTGACGGAACAAAGGCAGGACTGGTGGGAGATAAAGCGATGGTACCGGTCGGAACGACTGGTGGCAACGCGTTCCCACGTGCTTCAACCTGCGTCATCACCAGGCTCTGAAGTGAAGACTTCCGTCTGTACATATGACCCATCCTCATCGGAATCACCGACTCTCGACCTCGATCGATCCGTGCCATCTCGAATTGGTTCGATGGGCCTATCAGCCATGCCACCTCACGTGTGCGCAAAACGAGGGTGGGTAGGTGACACAGCTAAAATGGCGCGTACCGCTCTTTGGCGATACGGCTGATAACCTGAACTTACAGGCCAACAGCCTACAAGTACCAACATGTAGAGCGCCCTTTTCTTGAGCCAAACATAGAGGTCAATATGGTATGTACAGGTGTACAATCGTGCAAATTCAGAAAAAGTGCCTATTCATGGGGCCCTTATCAAAGGTGCCCTTACCTTCTTGTTTCCATCTCATTCTTTGTCACAGGGTCGCACCATGCGCACACCATCACGTCACAAGGTCGCACTGCAAGACGGTCGTGTCTCACGGTGAGCGCAAGCTGCACAGCAAGCTGCACAGCAAACGCAAAGCCAGTCGCAGTGGCCACGTGCTGCAAAGACCACGGCGGGATCGGAGCTCGTCGCCCCTTTAAAGGGTAAAAGGTCAAGACACCACCCCCTCGCAGGTGGAAAGTGGATCTGGGGAGTCCAACCAGTGACTTCCTAAGCCTGAACTCTTGGCGTTTCCCGTTGAAAACACTGTTTCCCAGCTGGTGTCTTTGCTCAACCCGTGGCCTCAAGACCTCAAAAGTGCCGTCTTCGCAAGCAGTGCGAATCGCGATGCCACATCGGCACTGAACCGGCCTGATGATGATCGTCCCCCTCTCTCCCAAAATCCGCAGAACAACAATCCAACAAGTGTAGTCTGAAACAGAACGATTTGCGCTTCAAAACAGGAGAGAAATGAAAGCCAAACATTGCGAAAAAAGACACACATTTTTGATCTAACAAAACATCTCTTAAAGCTGCCGAGATGCTTAAAAGGTGCCCGAAACCCAGTTCCAAAGCTTGGGCCAATGCAACACAAAGGAGCAGCTGGGAAAACATATGTGGATGAATATTCTAAAATGTTCAATCCAGCAGGTTACTGAGGCCATTTCTTGCCCAACATCTGCAGATGGGATGAGGATCTTGGATTTGGCCTCGCCAGTTGCGAATCGATGACTGGGTATCAAAGAGCCCAAAGTCGAAATAGGTCGATTCGACACTAGTCGATCAAAAACAATGCCTTCACTACATGACTACATGGGATTACTCGCTGAGGCTTCTGGGTCGAGTAAGTAAAGCGAATTGTGCTTTATCAAAATCAGCCGCAAAACCAGCACCTCGGAGCCTCCCAGGCATGAAAAGAAAAATGTGGTGCAGCTTTTAAGTCTTTGACTCCGAGGCTGCCTTTATTAAATAGCATTACACCATGCATATGGACGAGAAACAACAATGCTGTATACAGCTTGTCCAGCATCATTATCCTCCCCTCACCATTCTCTCGTCTGCAGCGCCTGAAAAAAAGGTTTGCTGCTGTTGGCAGAGACTCTACGACTCTTCTGTTAATGAGGCTGGGACGAGGGATGGCCCTGCCCTTTCGGAAGGAACTCCTCAAGTCCAGGACTCCAACATGCTTTTTAGTTTGCAGATTCACGAACTGGACGTACAAATTGCAACAACAGTTCAATTCAACACTCCGTAACATGGACCAACTGCAGCCGAGCGGCGCTGGGCGAGGAGGAGTGCTGTCGGACTTTTCTGAGCGAAAACGGTGAGCGTGTCAAGATTCTCAACACGTCGCATGCACTAAAACTAAAAACCTGAAAGAACCAACCCACGAACCCGAATGAACATACGTACCCCAAACAATGTTCGACACTATTGCGTGGCACTCTCCAAAGATGGACAATTTAGGGTGATACTCCTTTGCAATCTCTTATAAGACGGTGGACACCCTTCTGGGACACTCTTGTGAAACTCCCTCTTGTCGAGCACTGTTGTACAACACACGCCAGGACACTCTTGTAGGACACTGTTGTGGGACACTCCTGTGGGGCATCTTGAAGGACACTCTTGTAGGGTCCTTTTGTGCGACAATCTTTTGGGACGCTCTCGTGGTACATTCTTGTAGGGCTCTCTTGTAGGACATCTTGTGGGACACTATTGTGGAGCAACTCTCCTGGGACACCTGCTCACCAAAGACGCGCCGCGTTTACACTCGCATGTTTCCCGTTCCCCAATGAGACGGAGCCACGCAAGCGACTCCACCCATCATGCCGGTGTGTCAGACTGGATGCAAACTGACATGACACAACCGATCCTCCCGCTCCCAAGCAAAACGCCACGTTCGCTTCCGGCACGGAGCCAAACCGCATGGCACAGGGACATCAGAGACGCAATTTCGCCGCGCCACATACTTCTGAACCCAGATCTCCCAGAACATAACCTGCCCCCCGCATTACACAGTCCCAAACCCCGAGCTCCCAGAAGCCGGTTCCAGCAACTACAACCGTAGTAGAAAGTTGCCAGTTCTGACCCCGGAGAGCTCAAACGAGCACTTCGTACGAGAAGCGCCGTCCAAGTGTCACGCGTCAAGTCTCTAAAACAAGCCTCTCATACGAGACATCCTCCACCACCCAAAGGGAAGCGGGAAGTCTCATCAGAGCGAACACATCAAGCAGCCCTTGCAAAGCAGCTTTGCAATCACAGCCCCTCAAAACCACAGCCGCTGAAACACCAACCCTGATGCCACGGCGACTTTCACCTCCACCAAACGCCACGGCCTCATGATTCCCTATGCCTACCACGAAAATTCAACTTCAACACCTCCAACGCGCACGAGGCACTGCGCCTGCCACAAAACACACGTTTGGAATTTCGGCGCTTTCATCCACCAAGGTAATGAGATGCGTCACAACATCGCACCTTCAAGGCAAGATCAAACGCAAATCTCAGCACAGCGACATCCAACACCTCCACAACGCACCCCTGCGAACGCCAATCCCGGCACAGCGACCAAACGCGCTGACACCTGCGCAGGAAATCATGCTGCACGCTTGAAAGTCACGTTTGCACACTATTTCACACAATTCGGACACTTCCCCTCCATCCAAAAACTCTTCCGAAAACTTCCCCCAACGGAAGAAATTGCGACCCGCCAAAGGGCAAACGCAACGAGACTGGGGACACAAAAACAGACAAGGCGAACACAGATCCAGCCCCAGACCCCAGACTATAAACGGGAAATCTTCGCTACACATTCGGGAATAACATATTCCAAGCAACGCGAAAATGTCTTGCCCATTGTCAATGATCCCGTCGGAGACAGATCCGAAGCCTGGACAGGCCCAAGCATGCTTGGATGAGAGGTACTTAGCCCTCAAGGTCCCCACAGCAAAGGATAGTTTGTCAGCTTTCACCGTCATGGCCCTTCGCTTTCCTGGACATCCCAAATCTGAGATTGAACATATGCTGGACGGGAAGGTCACCCCGCAGAACGGAAAGTTCGGATAGAGCGGCAGTATAGATGCAGTCACACAAAGCATCGCGGAAAGACCAACACTTAATCTATGCGAGGCACCAGGTGTCCTTGTTAACAAGCTCAAGGACGAGAGCTTAATGATGGAACAAGCGACTCCGAAAGCGTGCATAAACAGCAAAACAAATTCGTGAAAAAGAAAATGGTTCTACACTGAATTAATCTTGCAGCGTGAGAACATGCGTGACCACTCAAATTTTGAGAGTAGTACAGATCATTGTAAATATAGCATGAAGACATGACACTGTCCATGCAACCGCAGACCCTTTTTAGCCATAGAAAACAAGTGCGTTGACTCCTGCTGATGCAGGTTATGAGCCCAAGCGAGGTTCAGTAAGACCACCTTGTGTCAGGCGCGTGGCTTGAGCAAGTTGTTGGCTCCCATGGCGAATCCTCTTTGGTCGCAGGACGTGCAGGAAGCCTTTGAGGCTCAGGCGATGAGACCCGATGACCTGCCCGTGGTTCCTGGCGATGGAGAGTCGGAGAGGACTCTTCAGAAGAGCTGCAGTCTGTTGGAGAACATCCCATCGAGCATGATCGAGGAGACGGTGATGACCGTTCTCTTCGAGGTGATGGAATGTCAGAAGAGGAAGCGGCTCTGGAAGATGAGCGAGAACCTGAGCAAATGGTGCATCGACCGGCAATCAGTGCCATTAGTGCTCAAATGGCTGAAAGACTTGCGCCGATCGTGAGAGGACCCGCAATCAGTGCAGAGACAGCTGAGAAGCTCGGCCTGACGGTGCAAGCTGCGGAGCGTTTGGCGGCTAGTGCACAAATGGCAGACCGACCTCAGTCTGGAAAAGGGTGAATAGGTGTAGCAAAGGGTGAGGTGAAAGTCACTCCGGGTTGGCCGACTGCAGCGACGTCGTCGATTGCAGTATCGATGCTGGGTGGACTTGACCGTGAGGGAGTTCCAATGCCGCCAAGAAGCTGGCTGGACAAGGACCGACGCCGTGACCTAGGGCATCAACCTCCTCGAAAAGAACATCGTTAGGGAGAAAAGCGAACCGAACGCGGACATCGTGATGGCGCCGAACCTACAGAGGGCCTTGAAAGCTCAGGTCGTGGAAGAACTTCGCCGTCAAAATGAAGAGCTGAGACAACAGGTGGCATTGTTGCAAAGTGCGACATCCATCAAGAATGAGGCGGTGAAGAAGGCAACCGATGCAACTCCTGTGAAATCTCCTGAGATATTCACACCCATGGAGGGGCCGGGTGAAACTGTGAGACACATTTGTGGGGGCGCTCGAGTACCACCTGGAACTCTACCTGAGGTTGACGAGAACATGGATGGGGGAGCGAGGACCTTGGCTGACCTACCACCAGTACCACCGTGGCCGCTGGAACCCACGGGTCAAACAAAGAGGGCGCATGATGAGAGCTTTTGGAAGATCTTTGAGTCTGGCCTCACGGTGTGGGAAGAGTACGATAGGAATCGGCCATACCAAGGTGAGCCTGTGGGAAGTGGCGTAAACAATGGCGCTGTTCAACAACACCATCTACGTGGACCTGAAGAATGTGAATGCGCCACACCAACAAGGCGGTGAGCTGCTTGGGAAAAAGGAGAACCGGGGTGGTTCGGAAACCCGTGAGAGTGGAGCCGCAAGTTGGGACACGGTAGATGACCTATTTGACAAATCGTGGGTGGGAACAGCGGCAATTCAACAAGCAGCGAGAATGCAATGGTTGGAACGTGAACTCAATGAACTACGTGGTCGCGTCCAACAACAAGAACAGGGTGCATCGTTGGGCGCAGGGCCACAATCAACCGAAGAACCCGTGAGCCACTGTCCAATGAAACAAAGTCGCCTCCATCAGTGTCGAAAGTTGGGAATGAAGAGGGTATGGATGATGGTGTGAAGGATGACCTTCGCAGTGTGAATGTGGCGCTGCCTCGGTTGCCTGAAGAAGGCGCACATCAAGCAGCATTGAAGTGTGGTGATTGGATTGCTGAGATTACACCGCTGGTTCATGATGTGAGCTCTTTTGCTGGCCAGTGGTGGAACCAGTTGATGGAGCATGTTAGACAGGTGTACAAGCAATGGTAGGCCTCAGGTCCTTTGACAAGGCTCGCGGTCAAGGTCGAGATGAAGCCGAATGCCTCGAGGTTGGAGAGCCGGGTGTCGTCGACGCTCCTTCCGGCCCTTCCGTCCTCACTCAAAGCCAAGGTCATTGCGGCTCGAAAGCTCATGGCAGGTGCCATCATGTTGGAGGTTCTCAAAAGATACCAACCTGGAGGCCTGTCTGAGAAGAGTGCATTGTTGAAGGGATTGCAGTCGCCAGCTCCGGCAACCAATGCAGCTGATACCATCGAGAAACTCCGTGTGTGGAATCGAAGCATCATTCGAGCCGGAGAACTGGGCGTCACTCTTCCTGATCCAGTTCTGCAGGCGCATGCGCTGGATGCAATGGTCAAAGAGGTCCTGGCGCGTGAAGCACAGGTGTCGTTCAGGGTCCAGACTTGGCGTCATCAGCAGGGGCTGGACGTCAAACCAACGCAGAGCACCGTGAATCAGTTCTCCCTTCTGCTGCAGGCGGAGATGACCACTATTTCGTTGGCATCAAATACTGGGTCAAAGGAGAACAATGAAGCAAAGGTGAAGCAGCCGCATCGAGGTGTTGGGAATGCTCAAGTCTGGAGAGAAAAAGCGCTTGTCCGACCGTAGTGGGCAAAAGTGACAAGGGAAGTAGTGAAGCTAAGAAGGACGGCCCCAAGGCAAGTCCAAGGGCAACGGCAAGGCTGACGGTGCTGCGAGGCCTAAGTCACCAGAGACACCTGCTGCGCAAGGTGGGGGGAGTGATGGTGCAGTGGAAGCGTCTGAAAAAGCTGGCAATGGAGGTGGCACTTCAACTCTGAGGAGCTCTACGGCAAGTTCGACGAGCACGACAGAGGCTGTGAACGGTGAGCTGGTGGGTCAGAAAACCAACTCTTGGGGGGGTCACATCATTGCTGCGATCACTTCGTGCCCCTCAACCTGCAATTCGGGCGTTGATTGCAAAAGTGAACCATGAGGCACAGGGAGTCTTGTTGGATTCTGGTGCAACTCACATACTCAGAGCTCCTCGGACAGAGGATGAGTGGGCATGCGCACGTGAAACCATCGCGCAAACACTGACAGTGGGGCGCTATTGTCCAAAGATGAGGTGGCTCCTATCATTCCACTTGGAGAACTGGTGGGACAGAGTGGAACCATTGACTGGAAACCTGGACAGCGTCGATTGAGGCATTGGAGGTGGGAGTTATTGAAGTCAATGTGGTGTCCAACTGCCCGTACATGTCAGTTGAGGATGGGGAAAAACTCATGAAGTGCTTGGAGAACAGAAGCCTCCAGATCCGGAACATTGTGAAAGCATTGGTGGTTGGGGAGGAAGAACAAGGGCAGGATTGGCTGATAGATCCAAAGATCCTGAGAAACAAGTTCCCCTTGGTGCCGCTGAAGCACATCGCCAAGCTCACGATGAACAAGGAAGTTGATTGCGCAGAACTTCCGTGGAACCGAAGAATGAGGACCATTGAGAAAGCAGACTCTGTGATCCTGAACTTGTTCGCAGGCCCGGACCCGTCGCGGTGGGAGGACAAGCTGCCTAAAGGATGGACTATGTCGTCGGTTGACATCCTTCAACATCAGGATGTATTGGATGATAATGTCTTTGCCTACTTGATCTCAGTGGCAAGAACTGGGAAGGTGGCCCCAGAATGGTGGACATGGACTCACAGCTCTGGCTACGAGCGTTGGTGTGGGCGGAGGTGTGTGAAAGCTATGGAGGAGGAAATGTGGAGTACCTGTTGGAGACCCCGCAAGATCCAGCTGTGTACAAGCCTGAATTGGACCCTCCGACATTTACCAACTGGCCTGAGTTGCAGACCGTGTTGGAGAAGGATCTTCAGCTGCGGAAGATTGCAGTTGATCAAGGAGCGCTGGGGCATCAACGCAGAAAGCCTACACGCTTGTGGTCGAACATTGAGGAGATGGCGGCGGTCCATGGCATGAGGGATTCTAGAGACGTTGAGCCTTGGCCGCGAGAGCTCAATGAAGCGATGAGCTGCTCAAGCAGTTGGCAGCATGGGCACCTGGACTGAAGTGGGAGTTGGTGAACTCATGGACTCGTCGTGCTGCTGAAGGCCAAGTACAAGTTTGCGCACTCCGTGATAAAGAATGTGAGGAGTGGTATAAACACATAGTGTGTGGCCACATCCCTTTTCGCCGAGAAAGTGGCGAATGCTTGCGCGCAGCTGGAAGAGATCGCCCAAGAACTCGACAGGAGCATCCAGATGCATACGCACTGTCACTTGATATTGCAGGTCCGTTTAGCCCTGGTCAGGACCAAGATCAAGGTCATCCGAAGTACTTCGTGGTGGCAGTCATCACAGTTCCCTTCAAAGATGAACGACCATTGGTGTGGGGATGGAGACCTAAGAACTCATCACAAGATGAAGAGCAGCCTGCAGAAGACACACTGCAGGAGCTCCAACCACGCCTTGATGAAGGTTTGGTTGACAACCCATTCAAAGGCGATGATGGTGCCGTGATCACGGAGGAGGAGATCAACAAGTGCACCTTCAAACAGGAGATTGAGAATCTCAAGAGTACAAATGTCAAGCGTTTGACATCGGCTGCACCGCTCCTGAACCGCAAAGAGCAAACAGTCCTCACTGCAGTGGCCGCCAAGCTGTATGCATGGATCAAAGCCCTGCAGATCGCTGTGCTGTCGGTGAAAACGGACAGGGCAAAAGAATTTGTTTCCAAGCGATTTCGTGAGTGGGTTGCAAACAGGGACATTCTCCAAAATTTCACTGCTGGAGATGAGCCGACAGGCAACACAAGGGCAGAGATTGAAATTGGCATCCTGAGGAATTCAGCACGGGCGCTGTTGAAGCCGGCAGGACTCCAGATGGGTGACTGGCCTACAGCAATTCAACATTCTGCAGAGGAAAGGCATAGAGGTCAACTTCGTGGCATGGGCCTTAGCCTTCCGCGGCTGCTTCCGTATGGAGCAAATGTCATGGTTCGCACAAAGACGTGGCATCGTGTTGCAGATGATTGAAGGCATCCAATGGTGCAGGGCACTGTGCTGGGTCCAGCGGAAGGTTGGGGGAGTTCGAGAAGTCCAATAACCTGAGCAGCCTCGCGCAGTGGAATATAGCGGAGAAGATGCTGCAAAGCAAATCCAACACCTTGCGGATGGTGGGGGCGAACACAGCGTCATGGAGCAACTGAAGGCAGCTGCTGAATTTTGGGAAATGTTTGATGACATCCCTCAACCTCCATCGGACGCAGAAGCCCCAGGATGATGAAGGCCAACATGCAGAATCTGCTGAAGACTTTGAGGATCAGCTCGCCGAACATGCCTCGGTTGAGATTACCGCTGAGGATGTCGCAGAACATCGATTTCGCGTGACTGGCAAGCAACCACCACATCGACTATATCGACCAGTTGGAGCAACTGGGGGGGAGTGGACGGGTCAAGCTCAAGCTGCAGTCCAGCGACTCATTGCGGAGGAAAAGGCAAGTGTGGCCAATATGAAAAAGTGCCAAAGCTGTGGACTTCATCAAGCGCATGATGAGCAGGTATGCGGCTTCTGTCAGGAGTTAAATCCTGCGCATGAGGTACAACAAGAATTCGTTGTGGCCATCAAAGCGTTGTCAAAGAAGTCGGACTGGCTCCAGGAGGTGTTGAGTGGAGCTCAGCAAGTTTTGGTAGATGAACTTGCCTTGGGAGTAGCAGGTGACGCCGGTGCAAACTTCAGCTGGCTTGAAGACCTTCGTCGGGATGTTCGTTGGTTGCAAAGGCAAGCACAGAACAACATGAATGAAACGAAGGCGGTGCTCAAGGCATCGGCTGCTGAAACCAAAGAGGCCACTGTGCAGGAAACCGAAGCGCTGCAAACCTACCTGGTTGGGAACTGGGAACAAGCAGGTCTTGGCCGAGAGGGAACTTTGGATGCAGCCAATTGGTAATGAGGTCGACACCTTGGAGAACACGAAGACCCTGAAAGAACTCCTCAAGAAGTCAACGACCTGATCAGCAGCGGCGTGACGGTGGAGGTAGTCCCGGGCAAGTTGCTTTGGTGAAGAAAGGCTCCATGTGGTCGAAGGAAGGCTCGCATCGTGGGCTGTGGCAACGTTGGCACTCCGGATGAGTCGGCGACGGTCTCAACGGGGGGCTTGGACTCAGTAAGCCTTCGACTACTTGCGACGATTGCAGCTCAGCATGATTGAGCACTGGGAACCACAGACATCACATCAGCGTTCTTGCAGGCACCAAAGAGATCAACTGCGCACAAAGTGACCCTCATCAAGCCACCTCATGTGGTGACAAAGTTGGGGATAGTTCCTGAAGGGTGTCTTTGGGAAGCTCAAGGAGCGCTGTACGGACTCAGAGAGTCTCCAGAAGACTGGTCACAGCACAGAAACCTCAAGATGCTGGATGCAAAATGGCTGCGCAGTGGCAAAGAGCGCCACTTAGAACAGTCTGCCGAGAGCAACATCTGGTACATCCTGAACAATGAGGACAACATCTGTGGCTACTTCGCAACGTATGTCGATGACATTGTAACGGTTGGCCCAGAAGCGGAAGTTCATGGAGCACTGCAATGCATTGAGACGCTGTGGAAGTGTTCCAAGCGTGAAGTTCTTTCTGGCCCAGAAGATCGACTGAAGTTTTGTGGGTTTCAGGTGGAGCGAACAACCAATGGATACCACCTTGACCAGAAGGAATACATCCTGGACCTATGCTCAAGGAAAGGGGTGGTGGAGTGCGTGAAGTGGAGGGGTGTGACAATCTCAGATGAAGATGAACAGTTTGACATTCCAACCCTCCGAGAAGCACAAGGACTTGTCGGTGAACTGCAATGGCTGTCAGGTCGAACAAGGCCTGATATCACTCACGCAACGGGCGTGCTCAGCCGACAGATGCGTCGCAAGCCGGCGGAGGTGGCGCTTCAAGCAAGAGCACTCCTTGGTTACGTGAAGGCGACAGCTGACTGGGGACTACACTATGAAAAGTGTGATGGTGAAGCCTCCTTCGGGGACATGGGTGAACTTAAGTACCCAAATTAGTGGAGGCATACTCTCATGCAACATTTGCACCAGTAGGGGAGCAGTTCAAATCTGTCCAGGGAACGATCGTCGCAGTTGCGGGATGCGCAGTGGTGTGGTCATCCTCATGCAAGGCAACCGTTCGTCACTGGATCAACTGCAGAAGCTGAGTTGCTGAGCTACATGGAATGTCACCAGCAAGCAGAGGGGGTAGCGTCTCTGCTTGAGTGCCTCACGAGATCGGATGTGCAGAGGTGCATCTATGGCGATAACCGTAGCGCCCTGAGCCTGTGCATGGGTGATGTGGGGGCGTGGAGAACAAGACACCTACGCCTACGCGCTGCAGGTTTACGGTCAGCAGTTGCGTGCATCATGTTATAGGCTCTGAGCTCCCTGCAGATGGCCTGACTAAGGCACTCCAAGGCACTGCTTTTGAGACGTTCTGATGGGCTCCATGAAGACCAAGATGGTGAGAACGCTGCAGGTTAATGAGAGCCGGAACGAGGATGATGGCATCGTCCTGAGGGCAGCATCAGTTGTGATGGTGGCGGCATTGATCTTTGTTCGCCCAGTGAAACTGACAGCTGCACTGGATGTTGCTGCAGCGTGTCTGATGATCTTAGGGACAACCTGGTTAAGGAAGGTTGAAAAAAGATGGGAGAAAGAAGATGAACTCTCCCCGGGGGGAGTGCCTCCAAAAGGGCACTGAATCCACTGTGAGGGCCCCAAATGAACCCACAGTGCATGAAGAAAGAAAAAATCAGGAAGGGCCCGGAATGAACCTCCTGCGGGGAACCACCCTCTCCACAGTAGCCCTGAGGGCTCCCGTGATGCTGCCTCGAGCAGCTGCCGACCGCGCGCCATGGTTAAGATGATGAGGGTTGAAAGATCCGCCATTCGACAAACCTCCTCTGGGTTCCTCTGACAGGTGGATGGTCGTGGAGAACTTTGTGGTGAGGATTCACTGCAAGCTGCGGTATCAGAGATGCCATCCTATACACAGTTCTTACCCTCTCCGGGATGAACAGGTCTTGACAGGTCGTCGAGTTACCATCAAGTACCTCAATGGTGAGCAGCCTGGCAGACCAACGGAAGACTCCTGGGTAGATCCTCCGGCGAAAGAGGACAGGCAGGACAATAAGGTTGAAGGACGTTGGACTGGCTACACCTTCTTCGAGCTCCGTGAACCTGCCAGAGATGCTGAGGTAGTGTGTTATTATGTGGGGGAGCGACCGATTGGCGAGTGGGCGAGAAGAACCGAAACACTCCCGCCTCACCTGCGCATTCCACATGATATGAGAGCCACTGAGGCAGCCCAAGCAAGAGCGCACCGGATGACGCGTGCCGCGTCTTCAGGACATGGGTATGAGTTCGCTAAGGCTCCAACAGTAATGACACCGTCGTCAACTCCCTCTGTTGCGAAGGCACAGAAGGAGAAGAATATTGGCAGTGAACGGTCGGGCGCAACAAGCTCAGCAGCCAGCAGCAGCACCTCCGGGGCTTGCTGCGCCAAGGGTGTCCTTTGGATCAACATCGTGGGCTTCGGGCGCTCTGGATCCTGGCGCAAAGGCGAGAACAGCAAAGGCGATCGCCAAAGCGCCTCCTCCGACGCCACCAGCAGAACGATGGGCAGATGCACCTGATGGCTTGCGGCAAGCATTGGAAGCTTTGACGGACTCGGAGAAGAACTGGGATCTACCACCTGGTTCTGACCCTGTGTATTGGGTACAGGTGGGATCGCGGCTTTATCATCGCAACGACCTGATGAGACAAGCCGTTGAACTTGAGAGCAGACCATCTCAAGAGATGCCTCGTCTTGATCTCTCGCTGGTCCTTAGTACCACAGAGAATGGTACATCATGCTATGTGGCTGCTCCCGCTGCTGGTGAAGATGTGGGCAGTGGAACGTTCTCATCTACTTTGCCAACAATAACAACAGACTTCTCCACACCGGATTCGACACTGGCACAGGATGGGAGTCTGAGGGGCAAAGGCTATGCGAAAGGAGGAGCAGTTGAGCGCGGACGGGCTGCTTCAGGAAGCCAAGACTTCACTGCAGGCATTCCTGGAGGACCAGGACAAATGGCAACAAACGCCTTGCAGGCGCTGGAAGAAAGCAAAGGAGCCTCCAGCTGAGATGACTCAGCAGGAATGGGATGAACTTCGAATATGGAAGTGATGGAAGCTTTGAGGCCTGTGGCAGCTATGATCCCTTCCTTGACGTCTGAATAGTAGGGTCTTGAGCTTGGCTCACTTTTTGGCCGAAGGCCGTGAATGTTGAGGCAAAGAAATGCCTCAAGGGGGAGTGCAGCGTGAGAACATGCGTGACTGAGAGTAGTACAGATCATTGTAAATAGCGAAGACATGACACTGTCCATGCAACCGCAGACCCTTTTTAGACATAGAAAATAAGTGCGTTGACTCCTGCTGAGGCAAATCTCAACTACAAAGAATGTTTTTTTGGTGGTCCTTCAGAGTATTTTTTGTAGAGTGAGAAAGGTCTATTTGTAGTTAGAAAGTCCTGGATTAGTTGCAGCTCGCCCTGGTGCCATGCTGGAAGGTGGCCTCAATCAAGCACTACTATCAGGACCACAGACTGAAATTCCTAAAACAAGCTCTGTCAACTTCATTTCATGTTTGCATGTGAAGTTGGCACCTCAGGCTGAGGTCTTCCTTTCGTCCAATCCAAGCATTTCGAAGCGCCTGTCCACGATCGCTCGGCGCATCTGGATCTGGTCCCGTGGTCGCCTGCCTCCGCGGCTGACGGGCGCTCTTCAGGTGCTTTGGACCTCGTGGAAGTACACATTTGCCAACCACATGCAAATGTAAAGGTGAACACGCATAGATTCTGATGTTGTTTTTGCCATATCGTACCTTACACCGAAGTCACAAAAACTGAATGGGACACCATATCTTCGGTCGGTCGTCTCAGTGTGTGCAAAATCCACAGCGACTGCAAACAACTCAATCCAAGGTTGGTAAATCAACAAGCCTGTCCATACTTCAGGCAGACAAAAGTGTATGCGCGTTGACCGTGCTCATAAAACACTGTGGGGTCTGCGGATTGAATTAGCACGTCCAATTTTTGTGGCAGGTGTGGAGCGGTCAATTATCACACGGCTTTAGAAAATATAACAAAAGGCTTCCTGGTGTGAAAAATGACCGGCCAAGGAAAGGGTCGTATTGAGCTTGAATTTCAAGAAGCGCAACTTTTGTCTGGCCAGTCTACTGGCCAAAAATTCCTCAACTGTTTGTCGACAGGTCAGGGGAGTTTCGACTTTGATGCGTCTTGCTTTGAATCTCTATAGAAACATGTCACAATTCTTTAATTTAAGACATGCTTTGCGGTCAACATTTATAGAAAGAGTGTTAAGCAAATGTGTATATATATATATTATAAGTTTTAACTATTTACTTATGATCCTTGAACAGCTCAGCATAAGTAGGAAATACACTCAGCATAAGCTGAGGAAGAATGGCCAGGGTGCGTGGTTAAAAAGGTTTTTGTGAAACAAATTGGTGACAATTGACAATTGTTCCTGATTGTTGACAATTGTGTTTGCACAACCTGGTCAAGATTCGTAGGGGACTTGACTGGAAGGGTCACGTTGGCGCTCAGGCAAAACGTGCTGTGAGTTGTCTTGCGCTCAACAACGCTGTCGCACAAGTCATTGTCAAGCGAAAAGAAATGTGGGTATGGTACAGGAGTGAAACCAAACGAAGCGTGTGACGTTCTGGTTCCATGTAAAACCTGTGTAGTTCAATTCCACCCGACCTTGATATTGAGCTAGCCGATCCATAAGTTACATGCATTAAAATGGGTGCGTGCAAAGATGTATATAGGTAAGACCTTTATGAACCTGTTGTAGGAGAGCGATGGGTCTCAACTTCTTCATGTTTCGCAGTCCCCGAGTGAAACCTTTCGCGGTGAGTATCTACATTATTTTTGATTACACACTTGAGTGAAGATTGTCCGTTGCTGACCCAGAACGAGACTTGCAGAACGAGACTTGATTGCCCCGCTTGGCCAAGGGCGTTGCTTCAAGGTTTGCCTTCAACAAGCATTTGGCCTTAGCGACCTTTTAAATACTAAACGTAATGGTCATATTTCCCACATCTTCAATTGAACTCGATATTGGTGCGGCTCTGGAGTCTGACTTTCCAAGTTTTCGTACCTCTGATGCCACAGCCCTATACATGTACAGGAGATCTCATTCTATAGCTTACCCCTACCTCGTTCAGCGGAGCCACAATGTTTTGGAAAAAAATGCGGCCACCTCCAAGCTATTCTTTAGCGTACAGGACACATATCATATATAGTCAATTATATTCATATATCATATCTTTGATATCAGGCAAGGCCGCGCCTGATTTCTCTTATTCCTAAGTTGAAAGTGGTCAGCCGGTGGGTTGGAATGGGTTCCTTGGCTTTTCAAGGCCATCCCACCCGTTTCGAATCTCTACTTGTCCGCTTAGAGTCACAGGGGGATTACCCAAATGGCTGAATTTGCTGCTTCTTTAGCAGCTGAAAAGTTCGACCTAGTTCCAGCATGTTGCTTTCTTGGAAATTCGATACCTCTGCGCCTAAATGGCAGAGCCCCTGTTTCAGTCAAATAGCGACCAACTGAGATTCACATGACTGGCTCAACTGTTCAGGCTCTCACAGAAGAAGGCAGGCAAACTCCTTGCACTGGTCACCTTAAGGCCGACCACCGACCAACCCCAAAGCGTGAGGTGACAGCCGTGACAGCGAGAGAATGCCTGGGCACCCTGCTGTGTTTGTCGTTCTCCGGCGAGTTGTAATACACCTGCAGGTTGGAGCTCGTTATCTCGGCTATGAGAGGAAGGCATTCCCTGATTGCAACTTGAGTGCGGGAATTAAGGTTTCGCAGCGCAGCAACAAATTATGGATTACTGTCAGTCCTATCTGATAGTTGAGAGCTCTTTTGCCCAGCTTGGTTGCTTGATTAAGCGCTGCGATGCATCTTGGTTTCCTGCTTAGTTGTTTGCCTGACTGATTGCTTCGTTCGTAGTCTTGGTGAGTATTTAGCGGCCCGACTGGTCCGCCGCTGGCTCAGCCAGTTCGTTTGCTAATTGCTCGAATGGTGGCGGACACAATTGCTTGGATGTCAAGCGTTTCAATTGGTTGTCTTTGTTGTTTTGGGTGGTCCAAATATTCTTCTGCATTGCTTAAATTGCATACATGCTGCATGCTTATATAGTTCCGTCACTGGAGGCCTGGGCTGGTCAAATGGTCCATGGCTTGGTTGCCACTGCTACTTCATGCTCGTTCGTGACTGGTACCGGGTCTCATTAGGTTCCTGGTCATCCTTTCCGCTTGTATTGATGTCCCGATTGTGCCAGCCTGAAGTAGGCTTGTTGGACCAAAATCTTTTCATGCACACACCTTAGGGCCTGTGCCTCGACATGTGTACGGGGTGCAAGGAGGCACCATCTGGGCAACGGGGGCTTTAGCAGCTAAGCGGACACCTGCCCCACCTGCTTCGCAATGCGAAACTGCTAGCTACAGCGGCTTCAGGGAACTGTCAGGTCCTTCCACCCTCTACATAGTTCTAATAGTGATGGCCTCCAACGTAAGAGCGATGGCCTCCAACCTACTGTCCAATTGTTGTTCATGTCTTCTCAATACAAAGCACTCCAGTCCTGCTCGAACATGGTCTTGTGGAGAGTACTGGCCTGGCTGTAGGACTTGGTTCAGAACTGCATCGACTCTTTGGAGCAAACGAGTTGGCCACGCCATGTCTTTGCCCAAAAACGGCGCACTCCCAGTCATTGCAAAGTGCAGCGTCCTCGCAAGGCGTTCTTCTCGAAGCTGGCGAGAGATGGCTGGAACTGAGGCACCGGACCCACCAGCCGCAAAAACATCAGCCTTCGAAGGAAATGCAATCCGTTCCAACAAGCTACAGCAAAAGGACTGCGCAAGAATTTTGAGAACAACGGTATTGGGTAATTACGCTCTCTTTTTCCTTGTCAGGTGCCTTGTGGGTGCATGCAGATCCAAGAAGCACCTGCCATGAGAATATGGGAAGAACACAAAATAAATGATGAGATCATGAATAAAGTATAAAGCATGATAGAAGTAGTAGTAGTAGTAGTAGTAGTAGTAGTAGTAGTAATAGTAGTAGTAGTAGGGGTAGGAGTCGCCTCGGGTGAAATGTACCCTGGAGACCCCACACGCCGCTTTGTTTCCTAGCAGCTGATAGTTGGCTGGAGTCATGACTGCTCCACAAGGTACCAAGCGATCAAAGCAAACCCGACAGTCCTCGGGATCAGATTCGGAACAAGCAAGGCCAAAGTCGCACAGTACAGGGCGACCACCTGCAAGATGCAAAGCGAGTGTTCTGCAGGTGGTGAACGAGAGATCTTCGGAGTGACCTGTTTGAAGAAGCAAATTCTCTGGCTTGACCTTGCGACATCCAAATGCTTCAAACTTGCACCAGTCAACTGACATCAACTGACCCTATAAGCCCTAAGTCCTTCACATCGCGGTGAAGAATTCGCAATCCACCGAGATGACTCAGTGCACTCAAGAGTCCATCCAGCAGGACTTTGCAACTGGCCTGCAGGACTTGGCAAAGCGTTGCTTCAACATTCATCAACGACACTCAAGAACCCCCCCAACAATAAGGACGTTTGGCTCTTTTGAACGCTTGGTCAAGTGTTGTATACATCCGTATGTATGTACTGTATATATGTATGTACTATAATTCTGTCAGCTAGAGGATGGCCTCTGTCTGCACACCGGTCTTTGCAATGTGTGTAAATGCATCGCCACCAGCACAAACTTAGCACACAGAATGTCACAGAGTGTCTCGAATGACACAAAGTGACAATTAAGACATTAAATGCTCAGGAAATGCTCAGGAAATTGAGTTCAAGGCAGTCCGTGACCAACATCCATGAGCCGGACATATGACGAAAAATTGCATGAAGCGCTAAAATGTGAGGATGCCTGCTGGCATAGCCGCACGAACTTGACCCTTTGAAAAGAGTCGCAGTAGCGAACAAGCAAGTGCAACAAACAAGGCAAGGTCGATCAAGGCCGAAACCCCTTTGCAGTTAGCATGAAGGACATTTCAGATCGCCTCAATGAAGCATTCAACCGCCATGGATTCGAGCTTGTCCATGGGAGGTGTGTTAGAGGTGTTGCATGTGTGTTCCTCTCCTTTTTTTGATGACCCAAAACTCTGGTCTAAGCTCAAGGCAAAAGCTTGGGAATAGCTTCAGCTTCTTTGTCCTTGCCCTGTTGACACGGGATGTGACTGATTTAACATGGCACTCCTGTCATGCTGAGCAAGCTGCTTCGCAAAAGCCAGCGGGGTCAATACCTGGGTCCAGTCTATGGTGCTGCACAGCCACATCCGCAGCACCTCGCTCAGCGCCCTACATTTCACCACCAATGGCTCTCCACCTCTCTCCTCCAAGCCAGATGTGTCCCTAGGTCCCTCCATTCCAGCACATGAACACATCACATCGAGCCCACTTGGACGCATAGACCCTTTAACAAAGCTATCGCGAGCTTGGGATGGGCAAGAAACACTCCTTCTCGCCCTTGGAGTTCTTGACCTTGGTTCAGGGACGCGAAGTACTTGCCAACAGAACAGGAAAGCATTGCTCAGGCACCGGACTCTTGCCTTATGGACACTCCCGAAGCTACCCGTTCCTGATAACAGAAAAGGCAGCTGTCTAAGATAGACAGTCCAAGATAAGGCAAGCCAGGTACCTACAACTCCATCTTCCATGTGATAAGCCGCTTCGAAGTCTGACCGCCTGCCATCAAGAAAAGGGAAAGCAAGCTTTGCCGACAAACGCAAACAAGCGAGGTGTGCAAAGCCCCGGCACCAGCCAAGGACAACACTGCTCGGTGAACACACTCCTAGTTATGCAAAAGCCAGTGCGAAGAAAGCCACGAACAAAGCAAAACAATTATATATCAGACCGTTGAACAAAAGCGAAAAAGTGAAGCAGCGAATCTCCGTCTTGCTCTCCTCGCCACCTTCAGCTACTAGCAGCCATGCAGAGTCCACTGGCTTTGATGGTGCCCCCTTGCCCTTCGGGACAGGAGCCTCGCAGGAAGGTTCAACAGCACAAGAATCAACATGACCATCAAATGACAATCACATGACCCACCTTGGCAGCTGCTCCTTCTCCCTTTGCTTTGGAGTCCTTGCTCTCCTCTGGTTTTACAGTTTTCAAGCCGACCAGCGGAGGAATTCCCTCGCTGCCACGCTTGGTGAGGACCTCAAGTCCGATGAGCTCATCTTCACGCAGAGGAATGCGACTACCAGAGTCATCCAGGATGAGCAAGTAGTGCCCACGCACCGCCAAGCGGAACTGGCCAAACTTCAAGAACAGGTGCACCCACAATGTTGAAGAAGCACAACAAACCAAATAAAAACGATCATGCTTATATTATATCTATATATATATGTAAGACTTGCAATAAGGAAACCATAATATACATTTGAGATGAAGAGACTTTGCAAATACATAAAATTTATCCCACGAGTGCAGCACCTTCTTGTTGCTTTCTGGACGGCTCCACTCCAACGCCTCATTCAACTCAGCCTCCAACAAAGTCTCTGGGATGCCTTTCAACCTTGGCCAACAGCCAGGCTACTGGCTTGCCAAGAAAACCATCTGAGGTGATCACTCTTTGTGGCAGGCATGCAGCCTCATGCAAAATATCACACTCTGCAACACCCTGTCCAAATACTCTCCGCAATCACTGGGTGAATGATCAATTATATACTGAAGCTCAGAAAAACCAAGCCTGACAAATGGCAACAGCTCGATCGGTGGACTTGTCGCAGGTGAGCTTTCAGCTTCTCGAGGACAAGCAGGAGCCAAAGCACTTGGCTCTGCCTTTTTGTCCTCTCCTGATGGGACGCGTATGGTTTCGGAAGTTTCAGTCCAAACAGCCTAGTAGCAAGGGCATCGCTACTAGGGGCTCCTGGAATCGCTAGTAGGAGCATTCTTACTACTAGTAGCATCGTTGCACCTTCAGTTTGATGCACGGTGTTTCGTCGTCCGAGTCGTCCAGTTCCAGGACGGCTGCTCATTCGCCCCGGTGAAGACCTTGCTTGGCAATGTCATCACCCGCGCTTTGAGCCAACGCTGCGCAAATAAAGAACAAGGACCGCCAAAAAACTTATTGTGTTGACATGCCCTATATACCCCTCCCCGCACCCACCCACCCACCCACCCACACACACAAACACACGGAAATACCTCAATGTCTTCATGATTGTTCCGTCTTACAACCATGATGCTGAAGCTCAAAGAGTCAAAGGACCTGTAGTTTAGTCATCACGTGTCATCACAATAGCACCGAAGCAATGAAGCCTGTGTGGCGACACCTTTTCTTTCTATTGACATCTTGGTAGAATCAATCGTGCAGCACGTCGCATCAGCAATCTCTGCTTTGTACGGACTGAAAGTCCTTTCGGATCAGCTCCTCAGTTGGCACATCACAAAACTGGGCATGCTAGCAATGTAAGGACATCTCAAAACCTACCTTCTTAGGAGGCCATCGCTAGTAGGTTGGAGGCCATCACTCTTAGGTTGGAGGCCATTGCTATTAGGTTGAAGGCCATCGCTAGTAGAAAAGGAGGAATCTTTCGAAAAGGCCTGGCCAAGCGTCGACATGCTTCATGAGTCGCTGCAAATCCTCCAAATGATCGCCGGCGTCTGCAGAAAGTTCTGGAAGCAAGTTGTCCAGCATACCTTGGCTCTGTTGTGACATACGGTCATGAGGCCTGTAAAGGAAGGTCACTACCAGGAATTTGCAGCTGAAGCACAATAAATGGCCTTCTTTCTGGAAATCCAACGGTAGCGCCTTTTTGACAGCAAATCTCCCACGAAATTGCCCAATTCCTGGCAATCTTGAGCACTGCCATACTCCAATTCAAGCATAGACTCACTACCTGAGGGTGTGAGGCTTTGGATCATCTGACAATGTCCGTTTCTACTTCACTGCGCAAGTTACACAAATTCTGAGGCCCAGGCCAAGATCAGTAAATCCTCGGAGTGCTTGGGAAGTCTGTTTTGGAGCTTCCGGCATTGCAACAGCCATGAGGATCAACCCGGAGAGGATGGAGCAAGCTGCGGAGAAGACCATCGGAAGGACCACAGGATCCGTGACTGCAAGGTGACCGGCAACCACTGGACCAACAAGTCGCCCCATGTTCATTGCAAATTGCTGCTGTGCAAAAACGGTTCCCCTGTTCGATGCATCTGTGAAGTTAGCAAGGATCGTTCCATTGCTTCCGGCGCGCAGGGTGGTGCCAGCCCGCGACAGGCACATGAAAACCAGAGTAGGCCATATGCCGGGAATTAAAGCCATCCCGATAGTGAGAATCCCGCTCACAATGGATCCAAGTACTGCACAACTCTTCAATCCAACAGCCTTCTGCACGGATCCAGTTCCCCAAATGCTGGTGGCCAAGGTGGCAATGGCTGTGAGAACAAATGTGAAACCAACGTGGAGAGAGTCAAATTCAAGCTTTGCATCCAGAAAGATCGCGGTCATCGACACGGCCGTTCCAAAACTTATTCCACCAAAGAAACCGGAAATAGCAAGCACATACACGCTACTAGGAATACTTTTTTGAGGTTGCTTTTGGTCACCTTTGGGCTGAGCATCTGCAGCTTTTTTCGAGGCCCATGCAGGTGATTCCGGCAAGTAAACCCAGCAAAGGGCAGCAGCGGCCAAGGACAAAATCCCATCAACCAAGACTGGGATATTCAAACCAAACTTTGAGAGACCACCTCCCAAACCAGGGCCAAAAGTCATTGCAAGGCTGGGAACCGCCGAAAGCTTTGACATATAATCTGCTAAGACCAGTGACGAGCAAACATCACTCAGGTAGACCTGAGCCGAATTCCCCACAGCAGCCCAAACTCCAGAGAAAGCACGCCAAGCAAGAAGTTCATAGTAACTTGCCGCACGTGCCTGGCCCAAATTTGCGAGCCCCGCTCCCAACAGAGATGCGAGGAGAATGGTGCGTCTTCCCCATTTGTCCGAAAGCTGACCTAGAAGGGGTGCGCAAAATGCCGATGTGAAACTCCATGATGCATATAAATAGCCCACAGCTGCATTGTTCACATGAAAGGAACGGGCATAATAGGGTAATGCAGGAGTTGAGATAGTAGCCGCCAGTGTGTCCATGAAAATGGTGATGAACACCATCCAAATGGCTACTTGAGGTACTGAAAGGCCGGTCTCAGGATTAAACTTGCCTTAGTTCAATCATGCCGTCAGGCAGTCAACCAGTCAGTCAAACACTGGAAAAGCAAGCATTGTTCAGCTAACGTGCCGATTCTAATGCTAGTCAGAATGCCCTCGTCATCTTTCTGCAAGAGGGTCTTGTCCATGACTGAAGCCAAACGTACAGGCACCAAGAGTACATGGACCTTGAGCCAAGGAATTTAGATGGAGAAATGGAGAAATGGAGATTGGGCCAAGGAACTTCTTTCTTCAGCATGTGTTTTTTTTGCGTCAACTCCTTGAATTCCAATGTTCCTATAGGTTCCAGCTGTTTGGTAACGGCATTTTTTGAAAACCATAGTTCCTGATTCCTGGGTCACATGGGCAAAACAAAAAGGATATATATGTGTCACGAAAAAATCCGAGGATGAAATGCTGCACCACTGTTGCATTTCTAGCCACACAAAAACATACGCGGACAACCCAGACGAGCAGGACAAACAGACCGGACAATACTTTGACAAGGCCTGGGCAAGGCGTGGCCAAGCAGGCCCTGACAAAACCAGGAGGAGGACAACGCAGGACCCACAGCAACGCAGTGGACAAGGCACAGCTATCATGGCCAGCCACTTTTTCCCAGCAGCGTTGCGAGGGTTCTTCTGTAGAAACCTTTTGCACAACACATCTGTTTCAATATCTTACAGTGGGTCCCATCTTAAACAGCTGCATTGGTATGTATGCTATAAGTACATCTGCAGCTTGCATGCGTGGTCTTCTAGACCTGCTGCTACAAAGGTGTACATGTGCAAGATATTTGGTGGTGGTGGTAGTAGTGGTAGTGGTAGTGGTAGTGGTAGTGGTAGAGTGGGAGTGGTAGTGCGAGTGGTAGTGGTAGTGGTAGTGGCAGTGGCAGTGGCAGTGGTAGTGGTAGTAGTAGTAGTAGTAGTAGCAGCTTCTAGAGCTGTGGCCTGAGAGCGGTGGTCCGTGCCATTGGGGGAAGGAAAACATGCTGGTGTAAATTTGGCGTGTCGCTGGGGAGCGGGTCCACGGTGCTTAATGTGACATTGTTGTCTCTAATCTGTTGCAGACGGTGGGGCCAAATTCCGTCTGTCATGTCGCTGTGCCATGCAGAGTTTTGCCTGCCAGGTACACCTCTGCTATTGACTCGAATAGCACGTGTGTGGAAAAGAAAGAAAAGGAATCTCTGCGTCTCTGCGCATGAAACCCACCGTCCTATAATAGACCACACAATTCTTTCTGTTGTTATTCACACCGATTTACATACAAGCACCGTAAACCCTGACTCTTGCACACTTTCCGCATAAATCATCTTGCCTTACTATTGCTCTACATACTCTTGCTTTCCACGCTCCCGGGCCATCCGTCGTCTAGTTTGTATAAACTGATTGGGAACAAGAAGAGGACACAGGGTTCGCCAAGAGGACAAGAGGAGGACACAGTGTTCGCAAGCATGGCCAGCACAAGAGGACGACACAAAAGGACCAAAAGGACAAAAGAAGGCAAGGGTTCGCCAGCACAGCCGGCAGCAGGAGGACACCAGGAAGAGGACGACTGGCGGACAAGAAGAGGACAACAGGAGGACAACACCTATACACAGGGTTCAGGGGCGGCCAGAGACCGTCTGTTTGAGCAAAAAGGATTTCTGGTCCAAAGGTGTCTGGCCTGGTGTTGTTTACACAGTAAAAAGCGGTTCACAAGTTTTGCAAACGAAACCGTTTTGCTAGGCTGCGGCAGTCACTCTGCTACGACGGGCACTTGAAAGCTGCCCAATCTGGGGGTAGCTAGTTCTGCTGCCAAGCAAAATCCCTGCTACGAAAAAGGATCTGCGTGATATCTACTCGAGCTGTGTTTCATTCCAGTTCAAGGCCTCTGAAACAGGATCTGTCAAGTGCAACACTTCATGGAGCACTCCAATGGAATAGTCTGCTGGGTAAAAGCGATGATCAGTCGAGTAAAGCCCCAAGTTTTCAACCTTGGAAGTGTAGAAGTCCACGTGCCTCTGCAAGCATCGCGCAAACAAAGATGGCTGAGCTGTCTGTCCATTATCCCTGGATGCTCGGAAGATGGAACCGAAGTTTGGATTGAGGAGGGCATCCAAATAACTCCTCCAGTCAGCTGCAAGGCTTTCTAGATCATCTAAAATTTTGGTGTCCGCCTGTGAGTAGGCTCCACATGGATCCGCAGTTGGCGAAAAAAATGTTGTTTGGCATTCGCGGCCACAAAGCGTCAAGATTTGCAGTACCTTCCAGGCTGTTTGCCATTTTCGGCTTGCCTGGATCGCAGTCTCGTGGCTCACTTCCCTGATGATGGCACCGGTAGTCCAACCATAAAGACGCCGAGCATCAACTAAATCAGCAAAGAGAGAATCACCAATGTACATGATGTTGGACCCATCTATGTCCGGTCTATCCTGTGTGGGGTGAGACTTGGTCCACCCCATCAAGCGAACTAACTCCCCAATGGACCCTTGGCAGTAGACCTCGTCCGCGCTGAAGGACGTAATGGGTTTGAATTTGATTCTGCCAGTGCGTGTTGAAACCTCTCTGAAAGGGCGGGTGCCTGTGTAGAAACCTGGCTTGCCGGCGGAAACAACTACCACATCGAAACGACTCCGCCAGTCCTCTCCACAAACATAGACCATTCCTTTGTTCACAAACTCAAATGGTGAGTTGGAGACAAGCATTAACTTCTTGCCCGCACTTCGGAACCTGTCCAGCAATTGGAGCAGTTTCTGTCCATCTGGTTCGATGTATCTCTCCAAATCATGGCCAACCGTGCGATGCAACTGGCCGGACACATGCGCTTGGGTAATGGCCCCCAAAACATCTGTCACCACGCTTCGAGGGTCGAAAGGAATGTTTCGAGATCGAAACCATTGCACTACATCGGCCAGAAGGCAGGCCTCCGCCGTGCTGAAAAGGTCATTCAAAGGCTTGAGACGCTTCTTCCGTTCCTCCGGTGGGAGGATGCCTGAACCCGTTTCACTTCTGTAAGTTTGTCGAACAATCATTGGGTCCACACGTTCCCGGCCGAAAAAAGCAATCGAAACTCGATATCGCAGTGTCAGCATGCAGATCCAAGCATTGTCCAAATCCACTGCAAGGCCTCTGATCGCAAAGTTCGGGTCATAGCCAGGCAGATCCAGGAGCTCTTTGGGATATTTGAATTTGGAAACAAGCTGCTCTTTTGCCAAATCATAAATCAAATGTAAAATGGCCGGCTTGTAGCTCACAAGGGTGTAATCATAATCGAATCCCACTACTTTGGCAGAACCCAAATTGACATAGGTGTTTGCATACACTCGATCTTCAAGATCAAAAGGATCATTCACAGCAGCACCACTTGATAGGACAGATTTGTTGGTCAGCACCGAGTTTGCTAAGTGTTCAGCCGTCTCCAACAGTTTGTTTGTTTTGGCGTTTGTGGGATGCCTAGGCAATTGGATGCTGCTCGCTTCAAATGCCCGTCGGGCACACCGCAAGTGCCTTGTCACCGGAGGAGCATCATGGAGCACAAAAAGCAATCTGTTTGGAAACATCGCATTCCAACTCAGCCATATCAGCGTCACAAAAGCTGCATGACAAATAGGTGACGAAGCATCCCTTTTGCTCATCATGGCCCCAGTGGTGGGAAGGACTGTGGGGCTGCTGACAACTCTATAGCTAACCTTCTTTCAGGATCTTTTTTCCATACATCAAAAACACAACAAAATTGCCCTGCATTGATGTCGATAGCTAACTGGACTTTGACACGAAGAGTTGGTAAACAAAGAATGCCAATGGACGAAGCACAGTTTCACTCTTTGCTCATGTCACTAAACCTGGTCGAGCCTGTTAGTATCATGGCAGCAACACAGTCAAGGCTGACGAAACAATGCTTCAAATTTCCAAGACCAATTTTTGTCAAAACATGGCTGCGGCCTTTTTCCTTGAGGTCAAAGCCACTGCGGTTGCAGTTGAGCGACCGGCAAAACTAGGGGTCGTTTGGTGGTACGTTTAGAGAATGGTATCGTTTTTGGGATTGGTATCGCTGTTTCAATTCATATGCAATTTTTTGGGGGGAGGTATCGTCTAAATGTAAATTGCTCTGGAAGGTGATCTTGCAAATGATGACTAGTAGTCGTCGTGTACTAGTACTAGTACTACGTAGTAGTATAGTAGTATAGTAGCAGTAGTAGTAGTAATAATAGTAATAGTAATAGTAGTAATTGTTGTTGTCGTCGTCGTAATAGTAGTAGGAGTAGCAGTAGTAGTAGTAGTCGTCGTCGTCGTAGTAGTAATAGTAGTAATAAAAGTAGAAGTAGTAGTAGTGGTGGTGGTAGTAGTAGTAGGAGTTTAGTAGTAGTAGTAGTAGTAGTAGTAGAAGTAGTAGCAGTAGCAGTAGCAGTAGAAGTAGCAGTAGTAGTGGTAGTGGTAGTGGTAGTGGTAGTAGTAGTAGTAGTAGTACATAGTAGTAGTCGTCGTCGTCGTAGTAGTAGTCGTAGTAGTAGTCGTAGTAGTAGTAGTAGTCGTCGTAGTAGTAGTAGTAGTTGTCGTCGTAGCAGTAGTAGTAGTAGTCGTCGTCGTCGTCATAGTAGTAGTAGTAGTAATAGTGGTCGTCGTCGTAGTAGTAGTAGTAGTGTGGCAGTAGTAGTGACATGTGAGTGGGCAGGTGGTGTCTGAGGGGGTACAGACCATGGTATCGTTTGGTATCGTTTTTGGTATCGGTCTGAACCCATAATTGTTTCCCATCGAAGAAAAAGACGGGAAATTTAGCAAAAATGAAATGGAATGTCCAGCTAGCATGGCAAACCATATGCAAAAAAACCTTGGACATACACTGTCTCAAGTGTCAACATTGTCAACAGGCAAAGATAGATTCCAAGATGTGTACCGTCACAAGGCTAGGTATCGTTTTTGGGATTGGTATCGTTTTTCAAGGAAAATGCAACTTGCTCATTTTTGAAGAAACGTGAGTGCCGACCTTTAGCACTTTGCTCAGTTTCTGGTTCAGTGAACTGTGAACATGCTATGCATGATCTAGGCAAAGTGAATGTGACACCCTGCCTTGTGGATGTGCGTCCAAGCGCTTCCACACCTTTCTCTTCCCTACAAGCAAGCTAGGTGGCCAGAAGCTATTCTTGACTGCAACCACCAAAGCTTCAAAAGCTTGTCTCTCACTTCAGCGCTAGCTGTCATGCTCAGCGTCATCGGGCTCTTCATTCTCCTTGTCCATGTCATCATCGTCTTCACTGATGACTTCTTCCATGAAAATCATCCTCCTTCTCAGGTAAGGAGGCTGACCGTCCTGCAGTCCAGCTCTAATGCGATCTGTACAGCTGCCTGCAT